ACCTGCCCGCCGGTTAGAGGAAGGAAACCTGGGTTTCGCCGAAAACGCTATTCACCATTGCAAGCTAATAACTTAACTCCGGTTCAAGTTAAAAAATCATGACCCAGGGTCACAGCCGGGTTAGTTTTAACCGTACGTGCGCAGTAAGCGATTTTTCGAGTGTTTACGTTTGCGTTTTCTTGCCGCAAAACAATACTTTTCTTTGTCATTTTCTTTTTTAAATTTAAATAACACTGACAGATCTGTTGCGGTGTTCGCGGATTCACCACTCCGTCAGTGTTATTGAATTACCGCGTTATTTCAATATACGCTTCATTTTATTTATTTATTTGTGTGTGCTACTAACAGCATTTGTTTCCCTACATTCTATTATATGTAAGTGCGGCTTCATCAAAGCCAACACCAACTCTTTTTCGTGCTGCGTAAAATAAATTCTGTTGGCATTCATTTTAAACAGGTTGTGACAAACCTATACGGAACTTTATCACTAACCTTCTGAGTCGGCTCTTTTAGGGAAAAATTTAATTCCCCTACCTATTTCCAATCAGCTCCAAAAAGAGGACAGGATTCCTTGTTATATGCAGATTAGATAAAGTATTTAAGTCAAACGGAATAGTAAAGCGAAAAGCAGTAGGAGAGAGAGATTGAAGCAGGAAGGTATAACGGTGAAGTTAGATTTCTAGGTGGATAAATCTCGGGAAGAGCTGAGCTGCAGTGTGGTAAATATTAATTTATATTTTAAAGTCTCGTTGAAATTTTATATTAGGAGTGAGATTAAAGTTAAATGTTCAATAGGAACATTATTCAATATAAATCTGGGATCTCGCGGTAATCTCTGCGTGATCGATATTCTAATTGTTAATTAATTGGATCATTAAATATTTAAGTTTATTTAAAGGAAAGTCCCTTTTTAAACCTCTTATAACTATTTAGATATATTTGTTAATAAGTCTTTGATTCTATTTGGAAAAGATAACCAAATAAAGAAAGTTATTTATAAAAATGGCTACTGGCTCTTATATGGCTCCAACTTATTCTCGTTCTCAAAGTGAGGTCCAAGGGGACCTTCACAAGGTAGCGATACTCGAGGTTAAAAACAAGCTGGCACGAGGCGAATATTGAAATTGTAGCTCCAGCCTGAAGTCACGGGGTTTATTTCGACCAATGGGAATCGACCAATAAACCCAGGTTAAGAAACCCAGAGTCAAGTAACTGGAGATCGAAAAAGAGCTGTGAATTGAAGTTCTAACCTGGGGTTGACTACCGGTTACTTAACTCCAGGTTTCATCGCTGGGTTAGGTTAGCGGTGAATGCGAGCGTAAGTCTTAGTTAGCTTTAAGCTTTCGTTTGCATTCAAAAATAGTCTTATATCTCTCAGCTCCTGATTTCAAAAAGAAAAGACTTGTAATTCCAAACCGGAGAAAATTTCTTTTACGTCTCCGTAAAATCTCCCCTTTGGATTCGTTTTCTGTAAAACCTATTCTTGCGGATCTTTACTCAACAGAACAATCGTGCCTGCCCAATTTGAAGTATTTAGATCTTATAGCTGTGAAAAACGGGATTTTTTTTAAAAAAATTATTGCGCCACCGCAACTCTCCCTATTATTATATATAAATATAGAGAGGGAGAGAGTGAACTAATAGTAGGAATTAAATAAAACATTAATAAAACACTTTTTTCTAAGTGTAAGTAAAAAACTTCTTCCGATTCATTTTTTCTATTTTTAATTTTAAAAAAATGCTTCATTTAAATAAGTAGTCATCAAACTTATGAAATTTTTGAGCTATCGTACCATTTTAAAATCCAATACTGTGAGCTACCATCCAAAAGAACTACCAAATTTCCTAAAAATATCTTGAGAATTTCTTCATTGTTTATATATAAACCTACATTTCTAGTAAATATGAAATCTATTTTTACTAAACTATGTATAACAAATTGAAATGTACATAAAAAATTAACTAAAGAGCAGTGATAAATAACAAATGTAATAATATATATATATTTTATCAGTCTCATTAACTTTTATAAAAAAGATGGAATTCTTTTTGTGTCTTTAACGAGTTTTTTAATATTGGGAGAGCAAGTAGTTGCTGTGCCATTCGAATATAGTTAAAGACAGAGCTTCGAACCGTAATTGTTTTCATTCCGGTTCAACTAATAAATATATATATATCGGCTCAATTCTGGTTTTCATTTCACCAAAAATAATGGTTTTCGGTCCGGTTCCGAATGAATAATTTTAATTTATATTTATTCTTATTCGCACAAAACATATAAATCTATCCAAAAAATTAATTTTATCAAAATTTAGAAGGTTTTATTCCATTTTTACAATTCCTACTAGGGATTGCAATATCGGACCAAAAGTTTAATACCGGTATTTGGTATTTTTTAGATCTTAATACCGGTTTTAATACCGGTAGTAAAAGTTTCAGGAAAAGGAAGAAAATACAGGTGTTTTTTGTTTTATTTACCAGTTTGATTTGAGAGTGTAAATATCACAAAAAATTAATTTGTAATTTTTAAATTATAACAGTGTATATATATATATATATATAAAGAATCAGAAAAAAGTAAAGGAAAATCTTATTTATTTAAATCACAAAAAAAGTTTAAACATCACTATGCAGTCTGTGGTGCTATTACAAATTTTTGAAATGTGATCTTAAGAAACATAATGCATTAATTGTACTGTCATTAAGCCTGGAACGTAATTATATGCAAAAATTACCACCTGTCAAAAATGTTCTTTCGGCTAGTTGGTGGTATTGTTAGCAATACGCGATATACTTTTTCCAAGTACTTACCTCTAAATCTCTCATCTTCAAATAAATCGATTTCTCGTCGGATGGTTTTGGATATAGCTGATTTCTGTATTGTATTTTGTTTGTTAAATTTTCTTTACTTATTTCTAATTCTAATTTTTGTTCAAGAGACAATTCCTTTTCACTATCAATATTAGTGTCGTAATCATCTTTGATAACTGTGTGACGTCTTACGCGTCTTTTCTTTAACAAGTCCTTTGGGCCAGAATTAATGGCAACTCTTTTCCAACCAAATCCAAGAAACGAGATGTGAAGAAGTGCAAATAAACAGACTTTAAATATCGGATCTTAGAGTAAGCGGGATGGCAATGTAAAGGAATGTTAGACAATAGATGCGCGTTGTGGCAGTTGATGATTATTGCAGTTCGTGGTTCTAGATTTAAGTTCTACGTGTCGTGGATAAACATATTAGTGTTCGACTAGAAGTTAGTCGTCAAGCTGCATACCATTGCAGATGAAGACCAATAGCATTACGGAATAATATAAGGTAGGATTGATTACACTTTATTAGAATTGAGGATTAAGCGGTTCTATTATTGAGATTGGTCTGAATTAGAAATATAAATATATATATTATGTGTTGCGTATTGTGTCATCGTAGATTCTCTCATATTAATTATTGTAATTATATTTGTTAAAAAAAATTTAAGTTGATTATCTTAATAAAGTCATATTTAGATAATGTACGATCCGAGTTCTTTCGCTAACCCTACACCTCTAGCTCACGCTGATACTTCGAGGGATGTACTTCCAAGGGGAGGTGCATCACAACTGTACCGAATTCTTCTGAATGTGGATAAGGTTTGTGGGTAAAATATTTTAAGGAAAATTATTATAAACTTAATCAAATTTGAATTGGTTGGTCTCTTTTCTTCTTTTCAATTTTTGTTTATAAAATCATGATGATATGTAAGTAAAAGTATGAAATGCAAATACAATGAGAATAACAAACTACCCAATTTAAAAAATATCGAATTATTACGCACTTTATTCACAACTACAACCTTTTTTCATTGATACGAATATCTAACTACGAATCCTGCACGTGTGCAGTATCGCTCTGAGCTATTCTAATTCTGACCCGCTTCCTTGGATAATTCACATATTTTATCACCTCTCTTGATTGTATGATGCAACTTTGTATTCACAGTCTAATTAATTTCACACGTTTGGGAAACATAAAAACAAAAACGTATACTATTTTTCTAGGTTGACGATACCTGAACACATAGTGCAGACAATTTTAAAAATTTCCAGTAAATACCGAAAAACCGGTATTTAAGCTTGTAAATACCGGTATTACAAAATTGTGCAAATAGCTCAATATACCGGTATATTGGTATTGCAATTCCTAATTTCTACTATTAGCTCAATCTCTCCCTATATATATATATATGTAATAATTCCCGCTAGTATCCTTTTTGTTAAATCTTTGCACTAATATTTAAATAAACTTTAATTCTTTGATTTAGAAATAACACTGTAATCTTAATCGTAATCGGCTAGTCCGAAATCCCTGTCCCGCCCATTCTATTCCATCAGAACTACTATTATGTAATAACCACTGCGGTATAAAAGCAAAGATCTTGTGTAATCGCTTTCTCTTCTCTTTTGTCTTCCTGCCTTCATCATGTAATCAGCCTGCTGCAACGCGTTCTATGTTTATCTTTGTTTGTGTTTGTGTTTGTGCTATGATGTTTGCTTCTTGTATGTGTAACGCCGTCCCTACTGGATCTTTATTTGTCATCGCATGTCAATAAAAGGGAATTACGATTTACATGAGTGCCTCTTCGATAATACCGTATTCAACCACGCTCCACGTAACATAAAAAATAATCATACCACCGGCCACGCCCTATATTTGGCTCGCTACAAAAAATCACATCACCGGCCACGTCTTACAATATATTTACCACTCAACGGAATTATTGCAGAAGCATTTCATATATATATATATATAATTCAATTTTCAATTGTTAATAAAATATATATACTTTCTATTCATCCATTCAAGTTCAAATACATTTTGTTAAACTTGTAGTGAATGACACTTGATGTTAATATAATTTTTTCAATATTAATTCAATAGTTAAACTTATAACTAATGAATAAAAAGAAATAAACGAAAGTAATAGTTCAACACCATATATAAAAAGGAAAACCGCACGTTGTGTCCCTATAGTGCAATTTATAGCGCGTTGGACATCTACTTCAAAGGTCGTTTGTTCGATCCTAACTGGGATACCCTAATTTCTGAGAATGGGATTTCTTTTTTACTAAACTATTTTATTAAAATAACTAAATTCAACGAATGAATAAATAGTAACAAACAAAATATTCCAACACCCTATATAGAAAGAAAAATGGAAAATTGCGAGGAAAATCGCTTTCTATTTTGTCTCTTAATATTGTGATTCTGTCATATGTATATACATATATATATTAATTCTAACTATTCAATAAAAATTAATTAAAATAAAATTTTTCTTTGACGACCTAAGTAGGAATTGACTTAAAATTTTTTTTTATATTACTTGTTATTTGGTACAAATGCGAATTGATACAATTACCAAGCATGTACGATACCAGTGGTGAGCAGAGAATGGCGAGCATTGGCATTGTAATCCATTATCAAAATCGCATTTCACAACTAGGTTCATGATTCTGGCTTGTCTAAACAGTCTATACCAGGGGTAGTCAACTCAAATGATCTTGCGGAAAAACATTATAAACTCGCGAGCTGCATATAAAAATATAGAGAGTGTTTTTTTTCCAGGTATAGAAGTTTAAGTTGGCATTACTTTCCAAGATGGCGACTGATTTAACAACTGTCAAGTGATTTATTCTCAGTTTGGTTTGGCAATTCATCATGAATAGACTTACGCCTGAACAACGCTTTTAGATTCGTCGAATGGGCCAAAACGAGATTGCCGTTGTTCCCGATTTTCATAAGCGAATTTTGTTTAGCGATGAAGCGCACTTCTGGTTGAATGGCTACGGCAACAAACAAAACTGCCGCATTTGGAGTGAAGCTAATCCACAAGTGTATGTCGAAACACCGTTACATCCAAAAAAACTGACTGTTTGGAACGCTTTATGGGCTGGTGGAATCCTTCTTCAAAAACGATGGCCACAACGTTACAGTCAATGGTGATCGGTATAGAGCCATGATTACAAACTTTTTCATTCCTGAATTGAACAATCATGATGTCCAGGAGCTGTGGTTCCAACAAGACGGCGCAACATGTCACACAGCTCGTGCCACAATCGATTTATTGAAAGACACGTTTGGTGACCGCCTAATTTCACGTTTTGGACCTGTGAATTGGCCTCCAAGATCTTGTGATTTAACACCGCTAGACTATTTTCTGTGGGGCTATGTAAAGTCATTGGTCTATGCGGATAAGCCACAAATGCTTGACCATTTGGAAGACAACATTCGCCGTGTTATGGCCGATATACGGCCACAAATGTTGGAAAAAGTCATCGAAAATTGGACGTCCAGATTGGACTACATCCGAGCCAGCCGTGGCAGCCATACGCCAGAAATCATATTTAAAATGTAATGCCACAAGATTATCTTTCGAATAAAAAAAATTCATGTCAATCGAATAATACATCGTTGTTTTATTGCAATTTAAAGTTCTATACCTCTAAAAAAACAACCTTTACTAGTGAACATCAAAACGAGAAATCGAGAAGCAATGTACATGTAATCATAATAATTATATGGTGTTGACGTAAAATTTTAAAATATTGATATATAAGTTAGCTACAGTAACAAAATGACTGAAGATTTATCGAACCGAAATAAGCCGATATTTTTTTCGGTTCAGTTCCGTTTTTCGTTCTTACTAAAATAACGGTTTTTTCTGGTTTTTGGTTTTTAGGCTTATTTCAGGCTCGAAGCCCTCCCTGGTTGTAAAAGTGTTCATCAATGAATCTCTTTCTGTGTGTATTTTTAATGAACTTCCTACTTTAAGAAAAAATCTCTGCACAACTGATTTCTGTCTTCGCTTTAAGACATACCAGGATTAAAATTGGGTTCTTTTAAGCGGGGCAAATATTTTCAGATCTTGAATAAAGTGATTTTACATACAAATTATTTTGAAATCCGCTCTATCTCCTGTCTGCAGGATCTACCAAAAATGTTTCCACGTGGTATCAATAGCTCGCTATCGAAGGTTTTGACGATCACTGATTTTAAACTACACTTTTCCATTAATAAGAATGTTATAAAAGATTTAAATCTTACATTTTTTCTTATTGTTAGATTTTCTTAGATTTATGACAAAATGAAAAAAATATATAATTATATGTAGTTGAAATTACGAATTACCGCAAAATCCGTCGAATAGCACGTACCAGTGTATAACGCCCGCCTATACTTTCAAGCTGCATTTTTTAATTTTAAGGTATATTCGCCAGGTAACACGCACCCTTTTTTCTAGAGGTAACCTGAAATGTATGTTTTCAATGCTATCATGTTTTGATGTCATTTATTCGAGGTATTATCCTTTGATAATGAAAAAATATCATACTTCTAGAAGTACAATTCTTTAAGGTATCCGACTACGTTCGGAACCGTGATTTTAAAAAAGCGCATAAACGGATAATTTTCATGATATTTAGTGTCACTTAGATTAGAATACATGCATGAAATTGTTTTAAGGGCATTTTGACAAAAAAAATTATTTAAATATAATATTTTGGCAAAAAATTAACTTAGAATAATCTTTTTTTCCAAATGTTCTCCTTTTGTGAAATATGATTCTATTATAATAACATTTTGCCTATATATAGCTCAGACCTCTCTACAGAGGCTCAACCAGAATTTTTGAAAAATTCATATTATTTTCAGAGTTACTACCAATTGAAATAATTATTCGCGTTTTTTTCTTCAAATTGATCCCCTCTGTTGTCGTAAAATATGAATAAACCCGCTTCTAACTTATATATTTCAAAAATTCTAGTTGAGCCTCTGAATAGAGGTCTGAGCTATATGCAGGCAAATTATTATTCTAATAGAAGCATTTGTCACAAAAGGAGAACATTTGGAAAAAAGGTTATTCTAAGTTAATTTGTTGCCAAAATATTGTATTTAAATAAATTTTTTTTATCAAAATGTCCTTAAGGGGTGTTGGAAAGCTAAAATCTTATTTTTTTGACAATTTGAGATTTTTACATTTTCAAACTGTATAGATTTTAACCTTTCTAAAAATACCTTACTTTAACGTCTAGAGTATTTAGAAGCCCTTAAAACGTATTTTTAAATAATCATTGAATTTGGGCCACGCCCATTTTAATGGCGAAAATTGTAAACAAATTACTTTGTTTTTGCTTAAAAGTGTAACAACTGATATAAACCAAAACATGTATCTTTTATTTTAAATTGAGCCTTTTATTTTTTTATTTCCTAGTCGATTAGAAGTCTCACTGTATACATTGAAATCAATTTATCTCAAAATGTAAATTTTAATGTGCGATGTACCTTTTCTGAGAAACTACTGTTCACAGGTATGTACATTTTTTATGAATTATTTATAATGTTGTCTAATATATATTAAAATGAGCTTTTCGTAAAAAACTCAAAAATTTAATTTTTACAAATTTTTTAAGTAAAAAATGGGTCAAATTTCGCAATGTTTGATAAAATATTTCCTAATTTATTAAAAAAATTCAAAATTATCTAAAAGCTCATTTTAGTATAATGAGAGAGGTGTACTTTAATAGTATGAAAAATTTCAAGCATGTACATAAAACAGATTAAACAAACCTGACTAAAGTAAGAACTTTTATTATGTTGATAGGAATTAGAAAAAGGGCCTGTTTTAAAAACGTGCGTTTCGTTTTACTTTAATGATTTAAGTTTCTACAAAATCATGTGATTTACTTTGGGGAAAAAACTCATAAATTTTTTTGTAAATATAAAAAAAAGGAATTTTAAATATTATACAAAGTGGAACTGGTTTCTAATGTTAGAAAAAAATTAATTTTTAGAGGTATATTATTTTATCTCTTTTATACGGTAAAATGAAGACATCAATGAGGTAAAAGTTCCTGATAGAAGATACTATTTTTCGTTGAAATAGGACCTTAAAATCAATTTTTAAATGTTTATTTTCAAAACGAGCTATGTAATTCTCAAAAAAAAAAAAAATACCAAAGTTGTTTTTTTCAGTATTTTTTTTATACACTGCTGGACAATTGCTAAGGACGGATAACACTATCATCCATAGCAACCACAAAATGAAAGGAAGCAAAATGTGGAAAATTAGAATAAGTGCGGGATATTAGTAAGAAGTATGAGTAGGCAAATTTTTTTTCCACGTCTGTTCATCACGTGATAGCGTTCATAAGAGCTTTAAAGGTTTTGACGCGTGTGGACAGTTGTTGTTTCAAGTCAAAGTTTTACAGGAAAGATTTAATAGACGAACTTAAAATTTTTGGCATGTCTTCCCGACATCACATAGATGATTTTATGCGTGGCCGAATTATTGGAAAGACCGAAGAAGGGCGAAAAATAACATATGTTGCCAGGGAGTTCGACATCGCTCACAGCGTTGTTTCACGGCTGTGGAAGTCATTTAAACTACTGGAATGTGTAGTAGACGGCACGGGGGAGGTCGTATTAGAAGTATGACGCCTGCAGAAGACAGATATATCGTCCTATCAGCAAAAAGGAACAGGCGCACCACAGCTCAGCAGGTGGCAAATCAGTTTCTTGCTGCCTCAGGAAAGCAGATCTCCCGAAAAACTGTTGCCAGACGTTTGAGGGGAGGAAGACTATACGCACGCAGACCTGTTGTGTGTGTCCCATTGACCAGACAGCACCGTACTGCCCGTTTGCAATGGTGTCGTGAGCATCACAATTGGACTGAACAGGACTGGGCATGCGTACTATTCTCAGATGAGAGTAGGTTCAATCTGTCATCGGATTGTAGACGCCAACTGATCTGGCGCGAGAGTGGTACTGCTTATCGTCCAGAAAATATCCAGGAAAAGGACCGATATCCGACATGCAGTATCATGGTGTGGGCCGGCATCATGATCAATGGCCGCACGCGCCTACATGTGGTTGCGAATGGGACTATGACGGGCCAACGATACATTGATGAAGTTCTACTTCCTCATGTTCGTCTTTTCCGTGGTGCTGTCGGTGATAAATTTGTTTTTATGGACGACAACGCAACATGTCATCGAACACTCGTTATTCAGGATTGTCTAGACAGCAAGGGTATTCAA